CTCCTCGGCCTGGCTCCTGGAGGAGCTGCTGAGGCCCGACTGCCCCGAGCCTGCGGGCCTGGATGCGGCCCGCGACGGGCCGGACAGAAACTTCAGACTGAGCGAGCACCGCCAGGCCCTGGTGGCCGCCAAGCACCGAGGTCCGGCGCCGCCCCTCGGGAGCCCGGAGCCCGGCCCTGGCCCGTGGGGCGAGGAGCACCCGGTGGAGAGGAGCCTTCGGGGCTGGGAGAGGGCCAGTGACGCTCCTGGCGCGGACGAGGCGCGCCGGCCCGACCCGGAGGCCGAGGCGCCTGCTGCCAAGAGCGGAGAAGCGGCCCAGAGCAGCGCTGCAGAGGCGGTGGTCGTGTCCAGGTCGGATCCCAGGGACGAGAAACTGGCTCTGTACCTGGCGGAGGTGGAGAGGCAGGATAAGTACCTGCGACAGAGGAATAAGTACCGATTTCACATAATTCCCGACGGCAACTGCCTTTATCGAGCAGTCAGCAAGACCGTGTATGGGGACCAGAGCCTGCACCGAGAGCTGAGGGAACAGACGGTGCACTACATCGCCGACCACCTCGACCACTTCAGCCCCTTGATTGAGGGCGACGTGGGGGAGTTTATCATTGCTGCTGCTCAGGACGGAGCCTGGGCCGGGTATCCCGAATTGCTGGCCATGGGGCAGATGCTGAATGTGAATATACATTTAACTACTGGAGGGAGGTTGGAGAGCCCCACCGTGTCTACCATGATTCACTATTTGGGCCCAGAAGATTCCCTGAGGCCTAGTATTTGGCTCAGTTGGCTCAGTAATGGACATTATGATGCGGTATTTGATCACTCCTACCCTAATCCAGAGTATGACAATTGGTGCAAACAAACTCAAGTACAAAGAAAACGCGATGAAGAACTTGCCAAATCCATGGCCATATCCCTGTCCAAGATGTATATCGAACAAAATGCATGCTCTTGAAGTCTGAAAGCCTACACCCTGGGAAAATGGCTTACATAGTGTTTGGAGAATTACATGAACTCTAATCAGGGTAATAGCACTTTTAAACTTGCTAGTAGATTTACTGTAGGTGTAATGCCTTAATCATTTTTTTGAATGTTTTTTTCTCCGAGCTGAAGGTTGCTGGGCACCTAAATGATGTTTCCTGATAGCTTTGGGTGGTCCTACTGCTATTTATAATTTGCTGTATAAAGTTAGCACTACTTAATTTGCAAGGTAATTTCTCACAGTGTAAATTTGTTCATTCCTGGTAATCTATTTTCTATAAAATTGTATTTTTGCACAACGTTTTTAAAAATTGATGTACCTTCATGTATGATGTGTTCATTTTGAGAAACAGCTTTCCAGCATAAATCCAGAGAAGTGCTTTATGAAGTTTGTTATTTTGAACAGTTTGTGATTTAGCAGTTATTTTATGTTGTTCAATTTGAAATTTTAGATCATTACTTCAAGTGGATATTGATGCATTCATGTTACCAGTTGATTGACCCATTCCATTTTGATGAAGCAGAATTGTTTTGGAATGTTATTTTTCTAGAAATGGTCAATCTTTTACAAAGAAATATATATGGGAAGGTTACAGGAGAATTTTTTTTCTTTAATAAGGGATAGTACCAGCTCTTACTTGAATGAAAGTCTGATGTTTGCTGATGGCGGAGCGATTATTCAGTTCATGTTTAGGGTAGATTGTCCTGTGCTCTGGATTGGTTTTTCTTTAAATTTGTCATTTCGTTGTAAAAGAATTTCAATGCGATATAAAACTTTGTGATAAGCCTCCTGCTTTATATAGTTTCTTGGTATCCATTGAGACATTTTAAAAATAGCATAAGTGCTTCGAACCAACCTTGGCAAATTACAGCAGGAGAATACTGTCTTAATATTCTACTCCTTTTAAATTCTTTCAAAAGCAAATAATAGGATTACCCTGTATTACCTAAAAATAAAAATGCCTGTAAACAGAATTTGTATGGTTTGCTGGGTCAAACAATGTTGCCATCTAAAATCTCTCATTTCTGCTTTTAACTACTTTTAGTCGTATTTATTAAGTAATGCAGTTTGTACTTTTTTTATTTTGTAACATTTTGTGGTTTTTTTGTACAATACTGTATTTGTATAATAGAGCAATTCTCAGCTGATGGGATGAATGAATAAAATGCATAATTTTACTTTTACACGTCCTTTTGGCTTAAGTGGTTTGTAAATTGTAAAATGATGTCTAAGAATCTCAGGAATTATTTTGAACAGTTTTTTCTGTGTAAAGAAGTCACAAAATTACAAGATTTCTTAAATTCTCCCATGAACTTAAGCATAGGATAATCATTAGTAATTTCAAAGGATGTCTCAATGAAATATAATTTAAAGGTGGAACAACCCAAGGAATTGCTCCCATTATTTCTAATTATGATTCCTTTCTAAAACTCTAGACAAACTCATTGGCTAATGAAAGGAAGGTGCAAGTATTGTTTTGGCCAGCACAATCTCTGATTAAATACTGCCCTTCCACTCTTATCAGCGTAGATATTGTTTTAAATAGTAACCAAAGCAGTGTCTTAATTTTTATGTAGTCTGCCCTCCTCAGAGTAGGACTCTTTATTTGAAGGAGTGTTACCAGATTTAATTGCTATATATAATGCTGGGTATTATTTATGTAGTTGTTGCAGGCTAAAAATAGTTTGGGTTTTTTACTTTTTAATTGATTAGGTGTCATGGTTATAGACACAAATTTGAGTTTATTGCTTAATCACTTTTTCTGGTTACCAAAAGCATTTTGTCAAAAGTTTAAATGTTAACTAATCATGCTTCTGATTTTTTAGGTAAAGATAAGGTTTCCTTCAAGACCTCACTGTTATATAACTTTGAAAAAAATCCTTTTGATTGAAATAACATGGCAAAAGATGGTTCTACTTTTCTACTGGTTATTTCGAGCTGTATGACATTTGGGGCGGCTTAAAATGTTTATTCAAGAGATGAATAGACTAATTAGGTCTAAATTTCTAAAAAGCATTCTATAAGCCCATTACTGTTTTAAATAGGTACCATTGTGCTATACTTTTTAATATCTAATTAGGGCCCCAAGTCCTTGATTAAAGTTTCTAGGGTAATATTTTTGAATAAAATTAAATGGCATCTAAGCTTGTCCTATAGGGTAGCATGTATTTTCGTTATCTTGCCTAAAGGGTTTCTTTTCCCTATCCTTTTCTTATTGATTAGTTTTTCAAAGAGGAAATTTATTCACTCTCCTATACTCAACATTCTCTCCTGCCATACCAGTTTATGGGTTAGCAGTAAAAGTCCTAAAAAATTTGGGCAGTTGAAGAGGTAGAAATGTAGTTAACTTTAATTTTTAGCATACAGGTTTATTAAACATCATCCTTTCAATTACTCTTAACAGCTAAGGGGCTCGAAACAAGAAAACTGTTTAATGTATGCTAAAATTTCTTTAGAATATACTACTTTCCCCATAAAATATAACGAGATAAAATCTGCACATAAACCCAACTGGTGTTTTTTTGTGTGAAAATCATACTGGTAATTTAAAGTAGCACACAAATAAAAACCATGGTGGAAATACATTTTTTAAAAACTGCATTTAAAAACTAAACATCATAGTACTTCAACATTTTGGCAAAAGTCTTAATTCCTTGCCTCTTTTCATTTTATACTTTGATTTTCCCTCAAGATAAAATACACTCTTTAGTATATTTAATTGGGGTTGAGTAAACCACTACTGCAAAGTGGCACAATGACATGTATGTCCGATACTTTAATAACAGTTTTCTGAATTTTAATCTATATACTTGATAGGATTTTTAAATTAGGTACAAACTTCTCTGAAATCATTTTATAGAAGAGAGGGAATGCCTTAGGATCCCTCACTTGCTGGAACTGGTTAACCTCAGCTTTGGTAAATGTTCTCACTTTGCAGTATTTTCATACTATTTACTGGAAAAGAAAAGACTGTTTAGATAATCACTAGATTTACTCAATATTACATGTTTTACCTGTCTAAAAGATAAGAAAGTTAAACTAGAATTTTGGCATGGTATTCAAAAAGAAAAGTAGTTGAAACACTTGATCATCTGATAATAGAAAAGTAGTTGAAACACTTGATCATCTGATAATACATAGGAAAATGTGAAAGCCAAGAATGCATAATTGAAAATGTATGACATGTTCACATTTAGGTCCAACCTAAATAGAGTATAACTATCTCAAGAGGCATTGAGAAACTCATTGTCATTCATTTCAATCACAAAGGTACTAAGCTCTCTAGGCCTGGCCTATGCTATGTTTCCTATTGAATCACTGGAATTCAACCTAGAAACTGGCAGAGTAAATATCTGTTGAAAGAAGGAATGAACTGACATTAAAGCTTTGAAAGTACTTAGTGTGAAATTAAATAAAGATGATTTAACTAAAGCTACTAGGATTATTACTGACTAGGTTCTAAGCAATTTAAACTGAAAGTATTGTAAAATTAAAGTATTGAATTCTATAGTACAAAAACAGGCTTTGAAAGCAAAATTAGAATGTTTTGATTTTATCTTTGTATCATATTCCAAACATCTTCAGACATGAACCAGTATTTTTAAAGAGAACATTATTAATCTATAGTGACTTTTGAAGGTGTTGCCTTGTCCGAAGGGACTTGCTCTTACTTGCTTGAGGAGTTATATCTGTCTCAAGTCAGTCTATAGCAGTTGCTGGTTTTGCCATTTTGTCTATCCTGGTTGGGAAGGAAATACCAGATTTCAAGCAGGCGTTAGTGTTCAGTAGTATTATTGACTGCTTAAAACCATCAGTGGGGCCTGAGCAAGTAGCATAGATCAGATCAAAACATGTCTATTGGAAAAACTGGTGTTATTTCCTCCTATTGTAAATTCGGTCAATGACAATTATTCTCTGGGTAAAGATCCAAGAGCTGGTTCATAGTCATGAGATTATTTCACTAAAACCTTAGCCTGGTTTCTCCTAAGTGAATTTTCTCAAACAATTGTGAGCAATCCATTGATACATAAAACAGAAAACAATTTCTTTCAAGAAAATTTGAGACAAAGTAATCTAGGGTACACTTCACTTGTTTTTATGAAGTAACTGAATGTAGTTTAATCTTCCCATTGTGACTTAGGGCTATCACTATGACCTGGTGTATGGCCCTGAAGCCTTGGCAGGTTCCTTCCTGAGGAGTGACAGTCCCTCTGTACTTTAAGAGATCTGAGTGCTAGAATTTTTATTTTTGCATTTTATACTTTCCTCTTTAGCATTCTGAATGTTCCTCTCACTTTCCAGTTCCAATTCCACGTTATGATTTCTTACGTTAAATTTGAGACACCAACAAACATGTTTATCAGAATTGACCCAATAGGACATGGGATTCTAATACAGGAATAGGATGCTCTTAAGAGTAATGTGCTTAAACATCAGTTTCTCGTCAACCACAGTGCTTTTTCTCTTGACTTTGTCTTGTTGCATTCTTTGATGGTATCCTGGAAAGCTGAATATATCTGACTAAGAGACCTCTGAATGTGTGTGATGTCACATGACAAACTAAAACACCTTGAGGTTAACTATCTTAATCCTCAAAATCTGTGCTAATTTGTCACTGCCTGATTAATATGTTGTTTTGTTTCTGCCATTTGTAATCCTACATAGTATTTCCCCACCATTATTTTCCTCATGCATTTTTATATCTAGTTTTCTGGTCTTCCAGATGTGCTAATTATGAGGTAATTCAAATATCAGATGCTCACCAAAGATTTCAAATCACAGCGCACAGACAGGTCCAGTGCAAATACAATAATTCTCTTTTGAATTTCATCCCCCTAATTCTTTAATATATGCACATTGTGTCTACAGGGATAAATACATTAGTTTTCTTCATCCTGATTGCTCTTTTCATGAGAATAAAATACTTTACCCTTATGTTGATATTAGAATGAATAGCTTATGCACCCTGGATTACTATGCTGACAAATAAGGACATTTGAAAACATATCAGCAGGATGTGTGCATTTTATATTTTAAAGCACACAGCATTTATATGTTGAACTGGAATGATTATACATTGAACTAGAATGATTTTGGCAAGTGTTGATGCCAAGTAGGCTGGCATTGTGTAAGAAGTAGCCCTAGTGATGTCTGCTCACAGTAATGAGTGAGTCTAAATAAATGTTTCACTTAGAAGTTCTCTGAATAATTTTAGGAATGGACACTATGGATGTATCTCTTAGCTTTTCAAGGTGCATAAAAGGTAATTGTGAAGGGAGTCTATACCAATGTGTCATGTAACGCCTGTGTAGCCAATTTGTAAAGTAAACCAACTAAGGCTTTCACTTCTAGTGACAAACAGGAAACATCCACACTTTGTGTTTCTTCCAGCGAAATATGAGCTAGACTGGTGATGTAATAGGAATGAAAGAAGTGGAAGAAGACAGTCAGGGAATTCTTAGCTTTACTACCTTTGCCATCTTGGTGAAACGTACCAGACTTGGTGGGGAGAGTAAGCAATTATGCTTTTTACTTTAAATCTGAAACAGTGTTTGTGTCAATAAGCACTAGATACCTGAAACAGAAATCTCAATAATTATATAGAATTCTAGGCCAAAGAAGAGAACGACTTAAGAGGCATACTGAACTTTTCACTACAAAGTACTTCACAGAATTTTCATTACCTCTTCATTGTACTGATAGTGGCAGAAGGTACTATTCTCCTACTCAAAATAATAACTATTTACAAGGAGATGACTGTATTAAATAGGATGGTAACTTGACCCTACAAGAATAGACTGTACTTTTAATAGCTAAACTAAGCTGTTTTTAACAAAGAGATTTGTTTCTCTCCCACTTCAGTGTTCCTATGTTCCCAAGGGAGCAGTCTAGGTTGGCAGGACAACTTTGCTCCACAGAGTCATTCCTCAGGACATTGTCACTGTGTGTATGATCCATTCTGAAGCACCATTTCTGGATTAGAGCTGACAGGAAAGGGACAAGCGAACACCTGAGGAGGTGCATTCACTTCTGCTCTTGTCTTAGGCCAGAACTTCATCTTATGGCCATACTGAGCTGCATAGTGTTATCAGGCTGCTCCCAAGAAGAGTAGATGGCTTCTAGCAGAAAAGTGGTGACTTTTTCCCAAGTCTTTATCAGAAATGG